ATTATTGATCTGGCATCCTTACCAAGCCGGGAGGGACCAACCGGGTTTTTCACAGGGGGGGGGGGGGGCGGGGGTGTATTTACCGCGTTTCACTTCTGGCGTTGATTAGCTGTATGATGTATGATGATATTTCATGGACCGCGCATGCGTACAAGAGTTCCAGTTTCTGAGGGGAGGAGGAAAACCGGCTCTACGCTCCTTAGTAGGCACACCCGGGGGCGGGGGGCGGGGTTTTCCAACTTGCTGCCGTATGGAAAACGGTGCGCTTCGTGAAATTAGGTGGTGTGTCCTAGCGTATGGATTTTCTGCAGACCGCCCAAAATATAATACATGATGATGGAGAAAATACACTTGCCCGCTACTGCTGTTGTTTATTTTCTGCTTTGATCATTTGTTTCCGCATTCGTCAACCACCCGTCCCCTGTCACTGCTGTTGTTCTGCAATGCATATAATATGTGCTCTTTTTTTTTTCTGCTCTACTATTTACTGGGTTTTTTTCCGCAGGCCGCACAAAGTTCATGATCGAAGAAATCCTCAAGGATTTCGTCAAGAGCGACAAGGGCAAGGACTGGGCCATCGACTGCCTCCGGTACTTCAACCCCACTGGTGCCCACAGCAGCGGCGACATCGGAGAGGACCCCAACGGCATCCCGAACAACCTCATGCCCTACGTGGCACAGGTAAGGTGATTCTAAAAAGGCCATGTTTTTTTTCTTTCTGTATTCCGAGTATTTGTGGTTTTTGCTTCCACTTCTCATCTTACAAAACAACAAGTTGCGGCCGCCGATTTGTAATTTTTTTTTTGTTGGGAGCTTTTTTCTTTTTCTTCGCCCCGAAGCTGTTGAGAGAGAACCGCGGTATTTGTTGCACCTGGATTGGTGTAATAACAGTGCGTCAGGAACAGCGAAGGAGGAGAGAGTTGCAAATCAGCACAACGACGTTTTGCTGAGCTGAAAAAGAAGAAAGTATTTTTTTAGTTTGTTGTTTTCTGTCCTGAAGTAACGACGACTCTAGGTCTTCTCCTTGTCGTTTCTGTCCCTTCGCACGCATGCCTCACGAAGAACAAGCATTAAAGTAATTGGTATGCGTCGTGCCATGCCCTAGATCGAGATGCGCATCTACGAATGCCGTTGACTGCAGCGCGATTACGCCCGGTGTAGCTCGCGACGATAACCTCGTGCCGTTTGGCCTGCCTCTCTCTCTCTCTCTCTCTCTCTCTCTCTCTCTCTCTCTCTCTCTCTCGCTTCCTCTCCCACCGTGCCTGTCTCTCTCTCTGTGCTGTCTATCTATCTCTCTGACTCTCGCTCTCTCTTTCTCTCCACCTCTGTCTCTGTCTCTCTGTTTCTGCCTGTGTCTGCGTATCTCTCTCTCGGTTTCCCCCTCTCCTCTCTCTCTCTACCCCCATCTCTCTCTCTCTCTCTCTCTCTCTCTCTCTCTCTCTCTCTCGGCTACAACGCATCAAAAAAAGGTGGCGGTGGGCAAGCGTGAGTGCCTGACCGTCTTCGGCGACAAGTACGACACCAAGGACGGGACCGGTGTCCGCGACTACATCCACGTCGTCGACCTCGCCTCCGGACACCTCAAGGCGCTGGACTTCCTAGAGAAGAAGGGCTGCGGCTGGTACACGCACAACCTCGGTGAGTGTGTTTCGACATGCAGAGGGGGCACCGTCCGAGGAAAGGAGAGAGGGGGGGGGGGGGGGGGGTTCCCCTGGAAAAAGGATGGCCGAACCCTTTAGGCCTTTAAGGCCCCCCCCCATAAAGGCGGGGAGGGAGCAAATTCCCGGGGTTCCCCGGGAAAGACCGGGTTTTAAATAAACCGGGGGGGGGGATCCACAGCTTTAAACTGGAGGGAAATGAAAAACCCCTGACCCCGGGGCGGCCCCCACCCCCCCCGGGTTTTCCCCAAACCAAAAAATTTTTTTTTGGGGCCAAAAACAAAAAAAACAACCCCCCCCGCCGCCGCCGGGGGTGGGTGGGGGTCCGCCAACGTCTTTTCCCCCCCCCTTTTTTTTGAAAGGGGAGAGGGGGGTTCCCGCCCAAATGTTCCTCTTGGAAAATTTCCATTTTTGGGGTTTTTTAAAAAACAAATTTGGTTTGGTTCATTTTTTTCCTCCAAAAAACCAAAAAGTACCCGGTCCCGCTACTCCGGGGTGGAGAAGGGG